GAGCTTCAAGCCATGTGGTCCTGTCCACCATTAAACCTTCCAAACAGCCTCCATGTTTCCAGTGTCTTTTTCTCCACTTGGAACTGAACTCAGAAGGATATGTCTTCCAACAGGCTTATTGTGATAATAACGCTACAGTTAATACACTCTTAAATAAACAATAAATAGCAGCCATAAACAGTTGTACAATCTGAGTATATTATTATCTAAACTCAGGCTCAGATGCATATGACTAATTTCCTTAACTTCGAACAAAACTCCATATTAAAGAAAATACCTTATTAAAGGAAAAAATAATAAAGGAAAGGTAATTATCTTTCTAAATCCATCTTATTAGTTGAATTTTTCCAATTAAAAATAAGGGAAAAAATAAAGATGAGCCTTATTTAGAAACACTTCTGTGAAGTCAACCTAATTTAAACCAGGAAGTTTAGAGTCATATCTGGCAGAACTGAAGATGTCACAATGCCAGCAGAATATTTGATTTGTATATAAGCCCTTAAAATGCATCCAATATAATTTGCATTCATCCTTCTTAATGTGTGCATTGTCATGACTTATTACATAACTTTTCCCATTGTTTTCGCTTCCTGATCCTTCATCTAGGAAAGGGTTTTTTAAAAGCAGGGTTAACATATGGATTGGACTTGATCCCAATATAAATTTCAATTGCAATGCTAGTTAATTAAATTAAATTATAATAAAGACTAAAGACAGGGAAAAGTTATTACAGTGTTAATATTTTCTTCAGCCAATAATTCTGATAATTTGATTTTAAATTGGTAACATTCTAAAGAATATCTGTAGTCTTGCAGCATAAGGTTGATCCTAATATCCTGTTTTTCATAATAATTTCCCAACATCTAACGAATCTCTAATCTATCAAAATTGATAGAAGTAACAATTCAACACAAATAATTGCATAAATTATGTTTCTATTCTCATATTAATTATGGGATCCTAGGAAGATTTCAGTATTAAAATTATAAGGGAATATTTTAAAAGCATTTAAAAGCATATTTATACAATAAAACTGATACACTTAGATTTCTCAAATGTGGTACAGAACAATTTATGGTGTACTATTGTTATTGTTATATGACAGCTTAAAAATTATCTAGAATGCATAAAGGTACATCAAATCTATATTGGAATGTGGACAAGAGGAAGGGTCATTTTATCATGTGTGATAGATGTGCAACATTTTCTAACTTTCTTTTGGTTTGGATGGTTTTATTTATACACAAAATTCAAGTAAGTTCCTAGCCAATTGTGACTCTACAAATAAAAGGCCTGGAAGAGCAACATGTGAATGAAAAGGCACTTTCCTCTGGATGTTCCTAATAGTTTGGTAAACATCTGATTCTTTGTTCCTATAATGTTTAGTGTAGAGAAATCCCAGCACGGCCCTTTAAAAACTACAATGAAATGGCTATGTACATCTCCAGCAGGTGATGCCTCTCAGAATGGGAATTTCTGAATGACTTTTAAGGAAAGGAGCCCTCTGAGGAAACACTAATTCTTCCTTTATTTTGATATAATTTGGCAAAAGCACATAAGCCCCCCTTAATCCTTTTCTTGCCTTTCTCACTCACAGTCCTTGCTAACATTTTACAAGGAAAAAATTGGTTCTAGATTTTCTCAGGTTGTCAGAAGAAGCAAAAAAAAAAAAATTGCAGGGTGTAATTTGAAAAGAAGATGACAATTCCCTTAGATTAGCATAGTGAGCTCTGCAAATATTTGTAAAATATTAGATATTCATACCTGTGTTTTTGATCTATGCCCTCAAGGCTTGTGAAATCTTCCTGGGAAGTAACATGTGGGTGGGTTCTTGGGCAGCGGTGGGATTCAAAAAAATTTACTACCGGTTCTGTGGGCATGGCTTGGTGGGCATGGCAGGGGAAGGATACTGTAAAATCTCCAGTCAGAGGTGGGATTTGCTGGTTCTCCGAAATACTCAAAATTTCAGTTACCAGTTCTCCAGAACTGGTCAGAACCTGCTGAATACCACCTCTGTTCTAATGGTGGTTAATGTTTCCATGTGGGAGGGGATGGTGCACCAACATTTTAAGGAGGCCATGGCCTGCCTCTTCTTAAGAAGCCATCGCTAGACTCCACCCTATTAGATAATGTTTATCCTGTCTCCAAACTTCCCTTTCTGAGGAATGTTGTTGACAAGTGATTGCACGGCCAGTCCTGTGGTTCCTGGATGAAATGGATTGTCTTCCAGACCCTTTCCAGTCAGGGTTCAGGCCTGGATATGAGATGGAAACAGAGCTGCTTTGGCACAATGGTTAGCATGCAGTACTGCAAGCTACTTCTGCTGACTGCCAGCAGCCTGCAGTTCAAGTCTCACTGGCTCAAGGTTGACTCAGCCTTCCATCCTTCCAAGGTCAGTAAAATGAGGACCCAGATTGTCGGGGGTAATATGGTGACTCTGTAAACTACTTACTTAGAAAGGGCTGTAAAGCACCGTAAATTGGTATATAAGTCTAAGTGCTATTGCTATTGCTATTGGTCTAGTTGATCTCTCAACAGCCTTTGATACCATTAACAATGGTATCCTTTTTGCTGTGGTTTGCCAGCAGCCTGTGCAGATGGCAGCAGAGGTGGGGAAGAACAGGGACCAATCCAGAAGTCTGGGGAGGACTCGAACAAAGGTCCTGTGTCTGATATAGAGATGGGGCCAGGACCATCTGGGAGTTATGTGCTGACTCCGGAGCCTCCAGAATCTGGCAGCAGCAAGGCAGAGGAACAAGGGGAGCCTGTTCCCAGTGTGCATGTGCACAGAGCTGCCAGAGGGCAGCTAAGACGAAACAGGCGACTTAGGAGTAAGGCTTGGAGGTGATTGCCCCTCCCATAAGGTATAAAGGAAGTGCAAAGGCAGAGAAAATTTTGCAGGATTAAACTTTGAAGCTCTGCGTGTGGACTTTGTTCTTTGTTTGGCTTTTTACAGTTAACTTGGCACTTTAGTTTTTGGCAGCAATTCAAAGGAGATAAAGGTGGGTGCTTATCTCAAGAGACTGGGATTCATTACAGGCTGGGAATGAACATAATTCCTAGCATTGAAATAAAACAAGAGTTGTTTGGACTAAGTGTGTGCTTAATTACGGTCTCAGGAAGCCTTGGTCAGAACACTTCTAGAGCAGCTTCAGGGCTTGGGACTCTGTGTTGTCCTGTGTCACTTCCTTCTTCTTTCAGTCAATTTCACTTTCATAGTCACTTTCAGTCAATGTTGATAGGAAGCATGAGGTCCATCCCTCATTCCCTGCTCTGTACTTTCTCCGCTTCTACAGGAAGCCACTGGATTAGACCATCCATCATCATGGGCTGAAATATCATCAATATCCTGATAACATCCAGCTATATATCTCAGCCCATGGTGAATTAAGCAATGTCTTGGCTTCCGTCTTGTAGTGCTTGGAGGCTATAAAAGAAACTGAACCCTGGCAAGTAAGAATGGCTCTGGCTTTGGGGTTCGCTGATCCATTGAGAATTGCCACCTCTGGTCTTGAATGGGGTGCCGCCCCCTCCCCCCAAGTAGACCTAGTGTTTAATCTAGACTTATGACTCCAGGACTCACAACTCCTGTTCAAGTAGCAGGTGGCAGGCATGGCCAGGAGGGTCTTTGTATAATTGTGTGTTGTCTGTCAATTATGCCTTTTCCTGAACCAACAATAACACCTGTTCACAGTCACTCATGCCCTAGTCACCTAGTCTTGACTATTGTAATGTGTTCTACATTGGGCCGCCCTTGAAAAGTATCTAGAAGTTTTAATTAGTTCAAAATGCAGCAGCTCATGTGGTTTTGCATAGGCATAGATGTGCACATACGCCATCTCTTTTGCGAAGCTGCATTGGCTGCCAAGTTCCTTCTAGGTTCAATTCAAGGTGCTGCTTGTCACTTTTAAAGCCTTACGGGGCTTGGGACAAGGTTATTTGAAGGACTATCCTTTCCTAGTCACATTTACCTGACCCATCAAAATGGCAAGGCAGGGGATGTTATGCATCCCCTCTCCAAAGAAGTATATTTAGCAGGACCAAATGCCTTCTCCACAGTGGCTCCCTCCCTGTGAAACATCATCCCCACAGGGTTAAGATTGGACGCCATTTTGACACTCTCTCACAAGATCCGGAATATCTGGTTTTGCCAGCTGTCTGGAAAACCCAGGGTGGGATGAAGCCCATCAAATGGCTTATTTGATTGACTGATTGTTGTCACTAGGGAGTGGGAGTTATTGCTTTTTATAGTAAGGTGACTAACCATCCTCCTTGAGGGAGGGTAGTCCTCCTTTTGTAAGTTCTGTCCTCTCTTGAAAAGTGTCCTCTTACATGTCCTCCTTTTTGATATTTGAAGACTAATCTGTAAATCTCCGTATTTGATCGATGCCAATACAATCCGTTGTATGTGATGTGACATATTTGTACTTAACATGATGATTCGTCAAGGTTCGATACAGTGCAATGAGACACGATTATGAGACATATGCGCTCCACACAGGAGAATTGTTTTGAGAGAGTGTGCCGCGTGTAAGAGTGCACCGTGCGCAAGTGGCTTTGTTTTTTTTCTTCAATTTATTTGTGTCCTTCTCATTGTAAAAAAGTTGGTCACCTTATTTATAGTTTTTATATTTTGTCTTTATCTTTGTAAGCCATCCGAAGTTATTGAGAGTTAATTGGGTGGCCATATAAATTTTCTTAAATAAATAATTTTAAAAAGATATTTATCTATGAATATTAATTAAAAATCTTTTTCATAATTTCACAATGAGAAACAAGAATACACTTTTCTACCTTGGACTCACATGTACAGTTTTGTAAACACATTGTGCAATCAGCATAGCAAAAAAATGATAGTTTAATGAAATATTTTATCTCAACTTCTAAGAACAATCAGCTGTGAAACAGAAACTTGTCTGCACTTGTAAACACGTTTTAGGTAGGGTCCACTGACACAATTGGAACTTATTTCCAGATGTGTTCAGACAGTTTGCATAAATATCCACTCATTTCTTTATATAAGTTACTAGGTAGCTTTAAAAAGATTCGGGAGCAGATTTTTGCATGAGAAGTCATGAACCTGAGGAAAAAAAGAAAAAAAAGAGCTTGTAACAAATCCAAACTTCTATCTTACAAGGCTTAATGGATACAATTTACTGTTGAGCACTGAGTCATTCTGAAATAGAGGAAGCAGGAAAGGTATATAAACCTGGTACTGTCTGTCTGACTGCCACGATTTTCTGAAAGCAACAAAGGAGTTACACTGGGGCTCATTCAAAACAATAGGTAAGATTTATTATAAACTGCAGCTTGTTTAAAGCCATTGTTTGTAATTAAGCAAGTTGAGATCAATTTAGAAAAGTAATTTAGGATCAGTCACATTTCACGCAAACCTACAAAGTTGTGTTTTCTTCTATTTTCAAGAATATGTTACAACTATTACCATAATATATTAAGTTTTATACTAGTTTAATAGCATGACTTTTTTTAAAAAAACTGACAGTTCTGTTTTGTTTTGTTTTTTAGTTTGCCTGTGATCCTATTCGGCATCCATGGGATCTTCCTTTAGTAAACTAATACTTCTAAGATTCCATGGAAAGAGGAAAGAAATTAGAATTAAAACTTTTTCGAGGCTACACACCTTTTTGTACATTTGTATGAATGAAATGCAAATTGAACTCAATGGGATTGACTTCCAATTAAACATTTGTACCACTGGTCTGTAAATGTATATTGCAATACATAAGACCTCAAATATTTAAACCTAATCCCAGCCCTTTTTGCTTTTTGACTCAGGATGGCTTAATACTTTTCCCTAAGAGAAAAGTATTTTTCCCTGAGCTCATAAAACATACGATTTTTTTCTATTTCCTCCTCCTTATTATTATGGATTTTGGCAGTCTGGTTTAGTGCCCCCCAATATTTTATGCATGGTGCTAGAATTTTAACTCAGCAATTTTAATTTTGTTGTAATGTATTATTTAATTTATTCCACTATCCATTTTAAAGTTCATCTCAGTTCTACTTCCTGTAGTTTCTCATTAGATGCTACAGCCATGGAAAAGGACCACAGAAAAGCAAACTCCGCATACAGTGGTGTCACACCACTTCCTAGCACACCTGAGATGCTGGGAAGTCAATTAAGTATCATGTGTTAATCCAATCTGTTTCCATGCTCTCAAGATGGAGAAATTTCAGGAGAAATAGTTCCAGGAGAATTATTTCTTGCTTCCAGGAGAAATAATTGCAATTAGGAATAAATTCTGATTGCATTGCCTGAGGACCAATCACCACAACAATTGCCAAATGGCGTGTAGCCTTTGCATCTGCTGAATATAGTTGATTATATTTAATATAAGGCAAAAGACTGAGAAGCAATATATTCTAAATAAACTGTTTCCAGCCTGGGGTCCTTCAGACATGTTGGATTTTAGATTCAATAATCTCTGATCGGTATGATTTTTTTTTATTTTTGTGGAAATGGCTGGGGTGAAAGTTATATTTTACTGCAGCAAATCAATTGGGGAAAACTTTAGGGACTATTTTAGATTTATAGATTTTTATATAGATGATATAGATATAAAAAGTCTGCATACCCTGATAAAATGCCTGGTTTTTCAGATATATAAAAAAATCAGACCAAGATAAATCACTTCAGATTTTTCCTCATCTTTAATATAATCTATAAATTGTACAATTCAACTGAAAAACAAACCAACCTTTTAGAGGGGAAAATAAAAATAAAAAACTTACAATAACATAATTGCATAAGATTACACACCCTAAAACTGATACTTTGTTGAAGCACCCTTTTATTTTATGACAGGATTTAGTCTTTTGGATAGGAGTCTATCAGCATGGCATATCTTGCCTTGGGATCTTTACCAACTCTTCCTTGCAAAAGCATTCTAAATCTGTCAGATTGTGAGATCATCTCCTGTTGCACAGCCTTATTCAGATCACCCTACAGATTTTCAATTGGATTCAGGTTTGGGTTCTGACTGGGCCTTCCAAAAATTTGATTTTCTGGTGAAGCCATTATTTTGTTGATTTGAATATTCCTCTTCATCTTTAGCATTTTAGCACAGATCTGAAAGTTTTAGGTCAAAATTGACCAGTATTTGGAATTGTTCGTCTTTCCCTACACCTTGACTAAAATCCTAATTCCGGCTAAAGAAAAAGCAGCCCCAAATCATAAAGCTGCCATTACTATGCTTCACTGTGGGTACGCTGTACTTTTGGTGATATGTTTCTGCACCAAACGTATTTTTTGGAATTGTGGCCAAAAAGTTCAACTTTAGTCTCATCAGGCCATAACATGTATTTGTCTCATGGTTTCGTTAGATTTTTGTAAATATCAGATTTGGATGTTTTTCTTTGTAAGAAAATATTTCTATCTTGCCACCTTACCCCGCAGCCCAGGAATATGAAGAATATAAGAGATTGTTGCTGCATGTAGTACATAACCAATACTTGCCATAAATCCTTTAATGTTGTTGTAGGCATCATGGCAGCTTCTCAGACTAATTTTCTTATTCTTTTTCATCAATTTGGGAAGGATGTCAAGTTCTTTACGCCATTAGTGTGCCATATTTCCTCTACTTGTTGATTACTGTCTTAACTGTGTTCCATGGTATAGCCAATGCCTGGAAATTTTTTTTATACCCTTCTCCTAACTGATATCTTCCAACAATGAGATCCCCTTGATGCTTTGGAAGCTCTTTGCAAACCATGCCTTTTGCTGTAAGAGACAACTGAGTACATGTCAGAAAAATCCTACTAGAAAACACCAACTTTATATGGGTTTAATCAAGGTCATTTTAATTAATGACAGGTATGTACTGACTACTAATTAATATCACATTGAATATGATTGGTTAATTCTGAACACAGCCACTTCCCTACTTATAAGAGGGTATGCACACTTATATAACCATATTGTCCTAAGTTTTTTATTTTTATTTTTTCCCCCTAAAAGATTTCAGATTATCTTTCAGTTGAATTGTACAGTTTATAGGTTATAGTAAAGGTGGAAAAATCCTGATATGATTTATGTTAGTCTGATTTTCATTTAAAAAATATGTGTCCACTTTTTATACCCCGTGTACATATTCTTTAAATGAAGCACAGATATGTAGGATGCATTCTGGAGTACAAAGGATTAAAGGAGAGAAAAGACATAAGAGTTAGAGTGAGTTTCATAGTCTAGGTAGGAGATATATATCTTCAGAAAGGTATAACATTGCAAAAATTCTGAACTATTTAAGAAACTGGCACAAATTCCATTAAGGACATTAAGCACAGATATGTCTCAATATTCTTTTTTTTTTTTAGAAATGATTGCCTTCCTTGTCTTGCTGAGTCTTGCTGCAGTGCTGCAACAGTCTTCTGGAACTGTAAGTTTCATAATTTTGTATCACGTATAGAAGATTTAATACATATACAGTACATAACTTTCTTCTCTTACAATTAATCATTCATTAAATATATTGGATAGTTTCATATTTGTGAGGGGGTTGAAATAACATTGAGGAGCAAGAAGAAGAAATGAAGGCAACAGTCAGATAAATCTGAATCCAATGCAGAGATGTAATTTGAGAAAGAGTCTCAGACAAGACTACTCTTAGTTCTCAATAAGATGAAAGCTGGGGAGAAGTACATTTAGACTTTCAAGATTCTATTGCTATGTTACTGTAACATTGTAATCAAATAGTATTATCATTCATTATTCTGGTTTCTTGGTCTGGTCAGTAAAATTTGCTCAGTCTAACTGTTCATTTTAATTCAAAAATACATTCCAGGGGTGAACACACAAAGCAAAATAAAATCATGCTGAACAGGGCAGACAAATATAATTAAAACTGGCACATTTAATGAAAAGAATCTTAATAATTTTAATGTCCATGGTCTATAAGAGAACTTTAGCCCCAGCCCTCTGGAATAGCACCCACACACACACACCTGAGGTCTGAGGGATCCCCACCCTTTTAAGCCTTCTGGAGGGCAGTGAAGACCTGGTTCTGCCCCCCCCTCCAAATGTTTGTTTCAATGAGGCTCATTGGTCTGATACTTGGTGGGTAGGATGTCTCTCTTTTTATTCCTGTTGTGAGCCACTTAGGATCATTACATGAGATAGACACTATATCAGCTCTTTATATCCCATTAGGGATGTTGAAAGGCTGGAAAATGCCTTTCCTTTGAGGATTCGGTTTTCCTGCTGGGAGGGCTCCAGTACAAGGACACAGACAACTGCTTGGAAGCTGGTTTATTCTTCAGGAAGGCAAGAGATAGCAAGAAGTCTGCGTTCCTGGGGCTAGCCATCTTTGTATAATAAACTCCTGATTTTTATACCTTTTCTCCTTTTGTGTGTGAGTGCTTGTGTTTGTATTTCTTAATGTTTTAAATCCTGTCAGGGGGTTGTCTTCATTTCCGCCAGAGGGTAAACTCTGCGGGGTGGTTTGATTGGATTATCAGTTTCATCCTAATGTTTTCTTATATTTGTTTGGTGGCAATCTCCTGTCTGCTATGGAATTTATTTATCTTTTGTCTATTTGTTTTGCTGATTTGGCATGACCTTTTGTTTGTAAGGGATTTTTTTTTCTTGTTTCCCTAGCTTTCTTAATTACTTGGCTTTTGTCTAGGGGGCTTCTTTCAATACCTTTTATTAAATCTCTTTTCCTATGCAAGTTTGTTTTATAGCTGGCCTGATGTTCCCTTTGGGCTTTTCCTGCTTGGGTATCACCACTGTCCTCATGAAGTTCCCTTTCCACAGGGGGAAGTGAAGAAAGTTGCAGGAGTAGTCTGGTAGGAGATAAGGCAAAGTCCATTCACAAGGAATGAACCAATATTTCTGATTGATTGATAAAATTTATATTGCTGCCTACTCGCACATGGCGACTCAAGGCAGCTTACAAGTATAAACTTTTCAAACTTACATTTGGGCTATTTTAGGAAATATGCGAGTTTCCTGTCTCAGAATGATGAGGAATCATGCCACCAGTTTTCAACAACAGTTGTAAGAGATGTCCTCCTCGTCCTGGGGAAAAGACATTCAGCCCCGAGGCCGCTAGTTGCCTGTTCTATTTAAAGTCATAATTTTTATTTATTTTTGTTTTGTTTTGTTTTGCTCTCTGTCTTAAGGTTGATTTTGCTTCTGAGTCAAGTAACAAAAATGATTACCAAAAGGAGATTGTTGACAAGCACAATGATTTAAGGAGATCAGTGAAACCAACTGCTAGGAACATGTTACAAATGGTAAGCTAAAGGTAATTATATTTGTGTCCTTCTCAGAGAGTTTTGCATGCTATCTTTCTCCTTTCTACTCACCCTCTGCTTCCTTCACAAGCAGCCAGCAGCTCCTCCCACAGCCTCTGGGAATTTGAATCATATAACTATAAACCAAGAATACCAATAAGACATTTAGGGTAAGTGCGCTTGAGATTGTGATTTTATTTTATTTCAAAATGACCGGCTTAGTTCAGTGTAATACTTGTTTTACAGCTGTCTTTCGCAGTACTCTTTTCAAACGTGGATACTGTCCTCTTTGTAAAAAAATTACCAGTCTACATGGACAGATTACCTATCTAGAATCTCTAATCTGTGCTCTCCAAGCAGAAATTAGGTGCCCAATCCAGCCATCTATTGAGCTGCCATGCTACCAGCCCCCACTACCACAAAGATCCTACAGGAAAAGGATAGTATGGACAACCATGGGATCTGGCAGGGTGATAGCTGTGGACCATAAACACAAAGCTTTTGCTGTGTCCCAGCATAACAGATACAGTGCCCTTGTTGACCTTAATAGGGACACTAAAGTGACAGGTCAAGGTAGTTGTGATAACGATAACTCAAGTAAGCCAGGGATCGTGGTCCTAGAAGAAGAACTTACTTTGGAAAGGAGAAAATGTGAATCAGGTATTACGCACCAGTCACACAAGAAGAGCAAGACATTCAAAAAGAGAAGCCGCCTTCTGGTTGGGGACAAATTGTAAGGGATGTAAATTTAGGAAAGGATACTGAGGTTTTGAAAGAGATCAGGTGTTCTACCAGGTGCTACTGCCAGCAGAGACAAGAAGCATATTCTTAAGATAGTCAAGAATGCCAGCAAGGACTGTGATGTTGATGCTATTATACATCTTGGTACAAATGATCTGTCCCAGAAGGATTTACTTTCTGTTCAGAAAGACTTCGAGAGCTTGGGGTATGAACTTAGTAATATGGGCTGTAGGCTTGTCTTTTCAAAGGTTCTACCAGTACACAAGGAACAAAAAGGGAAAGGGCAGCTTGTAGCAGAGTTTAATGTGTGCCTAAAGGAATGGTGTAAAAGGGAAGGTTTTAGTTTTATTAGTCATGATGTCTGCAGCTGGTCCAATGAAATACTGTACAAAAGAGATGGTACGCATCCATCAAAGAAAGGGACTGAGTTACTTGGCATTAAATTCACAGATTTCCTAGATAAACATTTAAACTGAACAGTGGGGACAGAGAATTAATGGATTCAGAACATTTCTGTCCCCAGCAAACCAAAACTAATAAGGATACCAGTGCATGCAAAATAGATGTTTGTACAGGTAAGATTATCAACCTTGATGCCAACCAAAACCAAGCATTTAATAGTGAGTGCCATACCAAGTGCACTAATCAAAAACAGGTGGCAAGAAAGTAGGGGCAGGCAGGCACAACACAAGTTATGTAGACAGTAAACACAGTGTCAGACATAAAGATCTCAAGTTCCTATATACAAATGCACAAAGTCTGGGGAACAAACAGGGTAAACTCGAACTACGAATACATGAAGGTAAATATGATATAGCTGGAATAACAGAAACTTGACGGGGTGAAACCCATGACTGGAACATACTGATAGAAGGATATACCCTATTCAAAAAAAACCAGACCCCATAAAAGAGGAGGTGGAGTTGCACTGTATGTAAAGGACCACTATATTGCTACAGAAATGCATGAAACCAAAGATAAAAACCTTCTAGAATGCATATGGGTCAATATAAAAGAAAAAAAGAATGACATGGCCATAGGTGTATATCAGGGGTGGGCAAACTACAGCCCACAGGCCACATCCAGCCCGTTGGTCATTTTAATACGGCCTGCCTCTGAAAAAACAATATTCCCCTCTGAAAAAAAAAATTGGGGCCGGCCAAAAGAGACCCCGTGCCACACGCCAAAAAATTCCACACACAACACGGAGCTGGGCAGCTGCTTCCCTGGTGGCGGGGCCGAGGTCGCTGCCCGGGGAACGCCCACTGCTTTCCCTCGCCAGGGCCAGGCAGTGGCGTGTTGCCCTGCGCTGCATGGCCCCCACCTGGCAGCATGCTTCTCGGCTGGTCTCCTCCTCCTCAGCCATACAGAACAAACAGGCAGAGAAGGAGGAGACCAGCCGGCTGGTTGGGGGAAGCTTTCTGCGCCAAAAGAGGCAGGTACTAATCTCTGGCTTTGCTCCACTTCTCCAATGGTCTGGCACCACCCTGTTCTTCTTGTGCTGCGAAAGAGGCGGCTAATGATCTCCGGCTCCTCTCTGCTTCTCCAACATCCGGTGCCACCCTGTTCTATGTGTCAGGCCCAGCAAGTCCGAGCAGCCAGCGCACACAACAGGGTGGTGCCGGCTGTTGGAGAAGCAGAGAGGAGCCGGAGATCATTAGCTGCCTCTTTCGCAGCACAAGAAGCCTCCCCCAACTGGCCAGCTGCTCTCCTCCTTCTCTGCCTGTTTGTTCTGTATGGCTGAGGAGGAGGAGACCAGCCAGCTGGTTGGGGGAAGCTTTCTGCGCCGAAAGAGGCAGTTACTAATCTCCGGCTCTGCTCCACTTCTCCAATGGTCCAGCACCACCCTGTTCTATGCGCCAGCTGCTTGGACTTGCTGGGCCTGACACATAGAACAGAGCATGCTGCAGGCATCTCTCAACAAGCCCCATGACATGTGGTCACCTGCTAGCTGGCCGGGCCAGGCCGGGCTGGAAGAGGCATGTTCTCCAGGAGAAGGAAGAAAGCGTGCTCCGGGAGGACGTGTGCCGGGCAGGTGGGAGGATGTTCCAGGACCACTTAAAGGTTGACTTTAAGAGTGCCCCCATGGAAGAAGCCGAGCAAATGTAGTGGCGGCAGGGGTGACAGGGCATGTGTGTCCTTCCACAAGGAGTATGAAGGGAGGCAGACGCCGCACCTCTCAGGAAAAAAGTAGGTACCAAAGCCCTGGCTGTCACCTGGGAGGGGACCGTGGAGGGACCCATCACATGCCCTTGTTGCCCCCGCCGCCTCTACTTTTGTTCTCGTTCTTGGCTTCTTCCATGGGGGCGCTCTTAAAGTCAATCTTTAAGAGCTGGAAGACGTTTTGTTAGATCGCCACCAACTCATCGTTGGGAGAGGTGTAGCCCCTGAATACACGAGAAGTCTTGGGCAAAATTCTCTGACTTTTAAAATGCGTGCGGTGTTTGCCTCTCTTCATGCTCCTTGTGCATGCCGGGAGCACCTAACTGGAGCAAAAGAGAGCGAAGTTGACTGCTATGAAATGAGCACCTTGGCTTCCTCTCTTGCTCCTCACAGTTGCCCTGAGCTGGTGCAGTTCTTTACTTGGGCAACCAGATGCCCGCAGCAGCACCCGCAGCAGCACCGGGCAGTTCCGCCTGGGCTCTGCTCAGGTGTCCAGCTGGGGCTGTCAGGAGTTGCTACCGCTGGCGCAGCTCCATGCGGGTCCAGTCCCGTGTTGCCTTGGGAAGGGAAAGGCAAAACCAGGAGCCGCTGAGCCTGAGCCTCCGTTGCCGCTGCTGCCATTGCAAAGCGCCACCGCGGCTCTTCCTTTTTGCCTTTCCCTTCCTGAGGCAATGCTGGACTGGAGCTGCACGGAGCTGCGCCAGCAGTAGCAACTCCTGACTCAGGGGGCCTCCGAGGGGAGGGGAAGGAGGAGAAGAAGGGGGGGAAGGGGGGGCGATTCCCCAAAAATCTTGTCCTGACCCGGCCCATCTGTCAAATTTTAAAAGTCAATGAGGCCCCCGAGCCAAAAACTTTGCCCACCCCTGGTGTATATTACAGGCCACCCAATCAAGCAGAAAATATAGATGTCCTTTTTGCCAGCCAACTAACAAACATATGCAGGAAACATACAACAATAGTAATGGGAGACTTCAATTATCCTGATATCAATTGGAAAACTAATTCTGCACCAAATGAGAAATCAAATAACCAACATAGCTGACAACTTTGTTGTCCAAAAGGTAGAGGAACAGCCTTACTGGACTTAATTCTTACAAACAGAGAAGAAGTGATAGAGGGAGTTGAAACTGCAGGAACCTTGGATGAGAGTGACCATGTCATACTAGAATTCAACATAACACAAACACAAGCAACAGAACATAATGACATCAGAGTCTTGGATTTTAAAAGAGTTGATTTCAATAAACTCAGAGAGAACTTGGGAAAGATTCCATGGATGAAAATCCTAAAGGGGAAAACAACTCAAGAATCTTGGGAAACTCTAAAAAGTATGATCATAGAAGCCCAGACCAGCACAATACACTGAGAAAGAAAAACAAGAAATCCAAGAAGAAACCAGCATGGCTGCACAAAGATCTCTCTGGCAAATTGAAAGAAAAAAAGGACAAGTACAAAAAATGGAAAGAAGGACATACAACTAAGGCAGAATATCAGCAGATAGCCAGATTCTGCAAAGATGAAATCAGGATAGCAAAGGCTCAGAACGAACAAAGACTTGTAACAAAAGTCAAAGATAATAAAACAAATTTCTTCCAACATATAAATAACAAGAAAAAAATCAAGGAAACAGTCGGTCCACTAAAGAGAGAAGATGGCAAGGAAATAACAGGCAACAGAGAGAAAGCAGAACTGATTAACTCATTCTTTGAATCCGTCTTCATGCAAAAAGAAACTATAGCTCAACCCACCAAAAACATAATTGTAAAGGACAGACCAGAAATAAAAGTTAAAATTAGCAAAAAATAATAAGAGAACATCTGTCTGATCTTGATGAACACAAATCACCGGGACCTGATGGATTACATCCCAGAGTTTTAAAGGAGCTACCAGAGGTCATCTCAGAACCACTGCATCATATCTTTCAAAAATCCTGGAGCACCGAGGAACTACCAGAGGACTGGAAAAGAGCTGATGTGGTTCCCATTCAAAAAAGGAGAAAAAAAACAGACCCAGGAAATTATAGACCAGGGGTAGGCAAACTACGGCCCATGGGCCACATCTGGCCCATTGGTCTGTCCAATCTGGCCCACCCCTGA